AAGTGTTTCTAACCGAACATTAAAACTAACAATAACATTCTTGATTTGAAGCTTTCGTGACTGCAGGAGTCCATACTCTTTGGTTCCTTCGGTAAAGTCACGTAGGTAGAAATAAAACAAAATAAATCACGACGTTTCGAACGCAACACAAGCGCCCGTCTTCAGGTGAAAATCGCGATTGCCGCGATGTTTGCTGCGAGGATCACGATGTCACAAGGCAGCAGACATGTCTAAGAATCACAGTTAAGAAACACACAACATACAAATAATTGAAATAACATGTAATCAAACAAAAGTGTTTGTCTATAAATTGTGTAAAGTGCAAATGCAATGTTGATGTTGCATGATGCTAAAAGAATGCTTGGACAGGGTGCATGTGTAATAAAAGGACTCAGACACTTCTTGCTGACTCCGTGTCCTTTATTTGGGGTTCGCGTTCTCCTTCCCACACGGCACTCCTCCTGAGACTCTCTCCCTGGCAGCCCCACATCTGCCTTCGCTCCCGTAGCCTTCCACGCTCCTGCAGCTCCGCTGCAGGCTCTTGGTACAGCCCTCTGGCTGCTCCCCCAGCAGCTCCATCTCTGCTCCCTGTTCCTCCGTGCGTGGCGATCTCGCCACCTCCCAATGTCAGCCCTTCGTGGGCTCTATGGCTATCTCGCCATTTCCTACCTCAATCCTCCACTCTCTCTTCCACCCCGCTGGCTGGCGCCGTCATGAGCCCCTCAGCCACCAGGCCGAGGCACGGCGACCACCCAACGTGTTCACCACCCTTCACTCCCCCGACTCCCCCAGATAGCTTCCTGTCTCCCCGCTATAACTTCTCCCCCACGTCACCCTGACTCCTCCCTCTCGGATCGTCATATCCGCCCCGCCCATTTACGCCCGCATTACACTACCCTCCCCCGTAGAGAAAATCCCAGCCGTCCTCGGCTGAAACAGAACAAAATAATGCGGGCGAAGGCATCACAATCAGGAGTCCCCCAGACACAACGGAGATTATAACAACAACAACACAAGCAACGAAAGGGGAGGTATCAGGAACTGGAACAGAACACCGGCCTGTCCTCCGCACAACAACAACAAGAATAAGAATGGCACAATGAACAACAACGGCAACTGACACGCAAGAACGGCCAACGCGCACAACCCAGAAATGTGATGTTTTAGTGCGTGTCCATGTTGCAGTTCCATCCGCTCGGCTCAAGTCCAACGTCAAAGAGCAAGTGGTAGAGCAGAATGACGAACGGCGCTCAATTGCTCCTTCAAGTCCTCATCCAGCTAGCACACCAGGTAACACCCAGTGCGACGGGAGCTGAAGAATCTGTGACGAGAAGGAGAATCCAATCCCCTGAGGCACAGCACAACAACGCACATCCGCATGTCGTACACGACAGCCACCCGGCCTCAGGGTAGTGGAGATGATGTAAATCCAGCCCGCTTAAAAAAACTCCCCATAAATACCCAAAATAACGCAATGGATGCCCCAGTATTTACATTTTAACAACAATATTATTTACACGTGACAACAACAACAACAAAATTTTCTGCTCTTACCCACCAGCAGTCCTCCCTTGAGGACCAGCACAGACATCGCACGTACACAGCATGTACCCACGGTCACTCTCAGCAACCCAACAAAACGCCTAATCGCACACCCTCGCGTGGAGAGAGCCACGCTCCCCAGCGGTAATGTTTAACTCGCCCTAACCCCCACCGTGGTCGTCAACCCACAGCAACATCCACTGACCATACTCTCAGCTAGTGCAATTTCGGGGATGAGCAGCAACTCGGCCACGCTCCTCCCTTACTATCCCATCAGAGATGGACACACACCAGCCTCGTATAGTCCGATGCTTTATAGCCCAGGGAAGGTTCATCCCCCAGCAATGCCAGACCCCCTGTACTCCCCCCACGGGGCAATGTTCTCTTATAGAGACAATAACACCCTAACCCAGATCCCGTGAGCCCCCGGCACACCAGGTTCAGTCTGCCACCGCACAACTGAACCATGACTCCCCGAGCCATATGAGCACATGGCCCATTAGTTTAAGACATACCACGGAGGTTTCGCCTCCGGGCTGTCAGGTCAGCCATCAGCCATAGCCCGATGTGACCACAACTCGTGCATCACCCAATCAACAATGGCAGGCATAACAGATGGAATATTTGCCCCACCCCGGTTTTTCCCGCGCGCTCAAAATGGCGTCCCCCTTCGCCCAGCGCGTTCGCGCAATCTCTCGCGCGCACTCAAAATGGCGGCCCTTTCCGCAAAGCGCATCGTCGCCATACCCCGCGTGCGCGCAAAATGGCGGCCCAACGTGCGAACACGTGGCCAGTTTTCTCCATTAGTGCACCCCAGCTTCCCTTAGCTGGGGGTCACAAGACGCATCCCCCGTCACGTTATAACAACCCCACCAACGATAGACGCACAGCCCCAGCTTGCTGCGCACAGCTGTCATATCGTGGAATTTTTAACCAATATTTTACCAACCACATTGGTTACACAACCCAACTCGCAAAGCAACTCGTGGCTGCATGCGATCAACCGAATACGCGACGCCACTTGGCGCCAATTTACGATCCCATTAGCATTAACATCTAAACCACCCACAACGGCGTCATCGCGCACCCTCATTCTCAAAAAGCTCAATTACCCCTATAATATACACGCAATCTCGTGTGCACAACACCCATACAACCAAATTTTTGGGTCCCCCTCTATAATATACACGCAATCTCGTGTGCACAACACCCATACAACCAAATTTTATGGTCCCCCTCTATAATATACACGCAATCTCGTGTGCACAACAACCATACAACCAAATTTTTGGGTCCCCCTCGAATTTGTTACCAATTTCCAACAGGTACGCACAATATAATAACAATCCCAATTCCAATAATCAACCACTGCATCGCACCCCATAACCATACAGAACAGTATAACAGCACATACAATCAGCATATTGCGATCACACGCGTACATTTAAACACAATAGCAAGCAGATCTGCAGGCAACCAACACACCATTAATCCTGTCGTAACTTTGCAGCAACAACACAATTATTCTCTCTCTTGCAACAATCGCATCGCACACAGCACCTCGCAGCACAATACACCAAAAAAAAATATTTTTTTTTTTCCCAATTAAGCCCATCGCACAAGGTAACCCACAATATACAGCGCAAGATACCCGACGCTCCCAAGTTAATAATTAACTTCACCATCAAGATAACAACTCCACGCAGCAGCCCACACACACAATTTGACACTCAGCAACTACAGCAGACTCTCCGTCCATTCTCAACACACGCACACACTTATATTGACACCAAGCAACAAGCAGATAGCGCGTTCATCGTTATTACACACACATACACACAGTCCGAACCGCGCTCCGCACAATCGAGTCATAAGAGAAACCCAAAATAGCCCCCCGGCCCTCGAAAGATGAGTGAGGTGTGTGTTAAGGCCGGGTGCGTATCGTTATGACTCGCCCGGGGCTGCAGCAAGAAGAGGACGGCAGGGTGGCAACTTGAGACGCCTCGCAGAACTCGTTCGGCGACTTGACGGCTCCGTTGTCACGCACCCGAGCCAGGACGGGAAGCTCCCGCCCCAGCAGCTGCAGCATCGGCGTCTTCTCCTCGCAGCACCCCCTCGAAAAACAGCAGCTCACAGCAGGCTGCTCACCCCGTGGCACCTCCAGATGGCAGCGCAAGGCTGCCTCTCCGCCGCGATGTTGAAGATGGCGGCGTCCTCCCGCCGCGGTGAAGACAAGATGGCGGCTTCCCGCCGTTTCTCCCCTGCCACGCCCAAGATGGCGTCTTCGTGCCACGTGGCAATGGCGCTGGCAGCGCAGGAAAGGCAGAGGCCTGCGGATCACCACCGGGCCTCCCCGACGTCGTCCTCGGCGTGGTGAACTCACACAGTCGCGCCAGCACGATTTTCAAGGTCCCCATCTGCATCACCATCTGTCTCCATCGTAAGTTGGCGTCCTCCGGCACAGACAGGTCCACCGACGCGGCGACACCTTGCTCACCCGGACCCGTACTCGTTCCAAAACGGATCACCTCTTCCATCGCAGGCAGGTCCACTGTCTGAGGAAGGTCGTCGTCGTCGGATGATGTAGCAGGAATATTTTTTTTTTTTTTCTTCTTTCTCTCAGGTGTTTTGAGATGCCGTTTCACTTCTGACTCCAGTGTAATAAAAGGACTCAGACACTTCTTGCTGACTCCGTGTCCTTTATTTGGGGTTCGCGTTCTCCTTCCCACACGGCACTCCTCCTGAGACTCTCTCCCTGGCAGCCCCACATCTGCCTTCGCTCCCGTAGCCTTCCACGCTCCTGCAGCTCCGCTGCAGGCTCTTGGTACAGCCCTCTGGCTGCTCCCCCAGCAGCTCCATCTCTGCTCCCTGTTCCTCCGTGCGTGGCGATCTCGCCACCTCCCCAGTTAGCCCTTCGTGGCCTCTATGGCTATCTCGCCATTTCCTACCTCAATCCTCCACTCTCTCTTCCACCCCGCTGGCTGGCGCCGTCATGAGCCCCTCAGCCACCAGGCTGAGGCACGGCGACCACCCAACGTGTTCACCACCCTTCACTCCCCCGACTCCCCCAGATAGCTTCCTGTCTCCCCGCTATAACTTCTCCCCCACGTCACCCTGACTCCTCCCTCTCGGATCGTCATATCCGCCCCGCCCATTTACGCCCGCATTACACATGTTTCCACTCGGGGTGGAGCAATTCACCCCTCTAGGGCTTCGATTATTGGTCATGGTTCAGGATGGCGATTGATTCACGAGTCACTTTTTCAAATCATGTTGTGAATGGCAGCACCTCTATTGCCTGCAGAGGTGATGTGTACCCATTACTTGCAACATCCCAAAAGCATGTTGATTCTCAAACACAATTCAATGCACATACCAGCACGTTAACAACAATTGTTCATTGATTAATCGATGTTGTTGCGCTCTCCGCTTTTGTCCAAACGATGTCCCCTGTGTAGAGCTCTCGGAGGTGCTGTGGACCATGGTGGTGCGTAGTGGGTTCGTCATGATGACTGGATACGTGGGGACGGCTATGGTATTCTTCACCTTTGTCGGGTTTGAGGTGCTGACGATTGGTGTGCTGCTCATCATGGAGGGCCTCTCGGCTTTCCTGCATGCGCTGCGTCTACACTGGTACGTCCATCTGTCGGAGGACATGCTTGTGCAGTCGGGGCCGAATTTGCACAGACGCTTGCAGAACTTTTCTTGTGTAGATTTATAATAATTCCGTTATAATCCGCCACTTCGTAAACAGCAGCGCTTATGTAGCTGTTTGCATGTGGACCATCTTAATGTTAATTACAGCTGTCTAATTACTGTTCCATATTTTTGTACTCCAGATTCTATCTGTAGATTGAAATGCAGACCTTAAAGCAGGAATTCGAATATTTGATATTTCCGAGTTGATTTAGTTTTTCATTTGATTGTGTATGAGAAACTCCATTTCTCAGCAGGAATCTTGATTAAAAGAGTAAATGCATAACGTCCATACTATGTCATGCTCTCTCGGTCGTCAGTTTGCATCAGATAGTCTACTCCAGAAGTAACACCAGCAGGGAAATGCAGAGTTTTGTCTATGCATCCATGAATATATTAGTTGAACATTTGTCTTTGTATAAATATATTTGTGTCTTCTTGACCATATTCTTACATTTCACCTCATATTTGTTTAACATCTTTCTGAATTGCTGCATGTACAAGTTTAGATTTGTAATATGAGAGCCTAAATATTTAGCTTTCCAGTGTACCTTTCTTTCTATTATCTGTGCTCTTGAACTTTTAATAAAAAGCATAATCATGGTAAGTTCAAACACAAAAAAATAATAGTACATTACATTTTGAAATATATTCTGAAGTGGAAAAAGTTTTCACATTATTGGAATTTCCATAATTTTAGTGAAGTATTTGTAATATAGAAGTATTATGAAATTGCATCTGCAAAAAACATTTATCTGCATGTGCATTAACAAAGATTACATTTTTACTCGTATAAGTTGTAGGCACATTCATACTTTTCAACACATTACAGCCAAAGCAAAGCAGAAGTAAGTACTTACTCTTGCAATGAAGATTCCAAAGTGTTTGATTCAACTTTGGTGTAAGTGTTGGCATTGTTACTTGTGTGCACCCTTAGGCACTGTACGTTACACCAGCCCAATGGTATTGTAACGTATGACCAATGCCTAGCTCGTGAACATGGCCCCAAATACACCACAATTCCAGTGGCATTTAGGCCACTGGAATTGTGTGAGTGGCTCAATTGAGTTATCAATGTTAAAGACTTCATAAAATGTGCTACATTACATAAATATGGTTTTGTAGATACATTTCAGCAGAATTATTAAATTGCCTGATTTTTTTGGTTTGTTGGCAATCATTGTAGGTGTTTAGTTGACATTTTTATTTTTAAAAAAAGTGGTTGTTTAATATTAAACAAGTGCATCATGGGACCTCCTTTGCCAGTTCTAAAATATGAGAATAGTTTTCCCCTTTTTTCTGGCAACAAAACAGGTGTTAAGATGTTAAAACACCAAACTGAAACCTTGTACAAGGAATCATGTCTGCATTAACCACAATACTTGTGGTCAGAATGCAAACAAAAACATACTCTGATAATATATTGTGGTTAATGCAGATATGATTCCTTGTACAAGGTTTCAGTTTGGTGTTTTAACATCTTAACACCTGTTTTGTTGCCAGACAAAAGGGGAAAACCTATTCTCATATTGTGGTACTGGCAAAGGAGGTCCCATGATGTAGCTGTTCAGCCCGAGCTCTCATTACTCTGATAGTGCATTGTCTTTGTGCTGCACGCCTTTTGGCGTCCTTTGGTCTAACATCTTTTGAGACGAGGCTCAAAAGAAATTTGTCTCTGGTGTGGACCAATCAGTTTCAAAGACAAAGCATATATTATCAGAGTATGTTTTTTGTTTGCATTCTGACCACAAGCATTGTGGTTAATGCAGACATGATTTCTTGTACAAGGTTTCAGTTTGGTGTTTTAACATATTAACACCTGTTTTGTTGCCAGATAAAAGGGGTAAACCTATTCTAATTAAACAAGTGCTTTGGGTAAAAAGGACGGGATATTTACCTTTTGGAAGTTATTTAAACAAAACCAAACAGAAAGATAACTGGGATCGTTTGTGAGCTTGGCCATCAAAAATATGCCGATTTTTTTGGCTGTGAAATCCACCGGTAATGGCTTTTCCTTACTGCTGCTGTTGATGCTTAAGGTTTCAAAACATCTTGGTACACAACCCATGAATCTGTGGCACACATCCTGAATATTTTTCTCGATAGCGCATAAACATTTGCATTGAGCTTCATAAATCAGAACTTTATTTTGAATATCCTTGCAAGAAAATGCTCTGCCGTACAATTCTCTGCATTTTGCAGTGGTAGTGAGGCTTGGAGATTGCTGGCAGTAAGTCTGCTAAGTCTTATCAGAATTTGCCAGGCCCAGCCATATCTGCAGCCAGCAATCCCCTGTAATATTCCAAGGTGACATTACAGTATTCCAAATCCTCAGAAACGCACGGTGCAAATGCCGTATTCTGCATTTGCATAATGCACACATTTATTTATTAATTATTAGCTATAATTGGATACATTTTTTGAAGGGCCTTTGCTCAAAACATCGCCAATTGTATATTTTTTTCTTTTGAACCCTTAAAGCAGTGTATTTGACAAATGTGTTGATTTTTTTTATTATTATTGTGCTTGTGCACCTCTGCCAACGCAGTATCACCAAATACTGTGAAAATTAAGTAAATTGACTTCTCCTTTCCTGTCCACCAAACCATACAGCTCTAGTTTGCCAGTTGTGTGGCAGGTGATAGCCCCCCTCGACCCAACCGTGGTACCACCTACAATATTTAATAGGACTAAATGTTCTACTTTGGACGGGAAAATTAAGAATTGGTTCCAGTTGGTTTACAATGTTTTGGTTTCATGCTTTACTCGTGATACATGGGGCTACCTGAGTAGTGGGTGGAGATAGCAGAGGCGAAGGCAGGGATTATAAGAAGTGGGTGAGGCCGACAACAGAAAAAGTGGAGGCTACTCCCTTTGTAGGTGATGCTAGTGATTGAGTGGGTGTGGTTATGTAAAAGCAGGCAGGGCTTACATAGGTATATGCAGTCAACTCACTACACATCCCGATTGAGCCTCCAAGATATTTGGTAGCTTAATGGCTGTATGCTAATATACTCATGGCGGGCTTTGATGGAAAAAAAAGACTGAAGTGCTTACATGTCGCCTAATTTCATGCTCCTCAAGGTTGCCAATCAGCAGCTTTGTTTTAAGGATAGATTGATGGTGCCTCAAACTACAATTAAAATCGTGACTATGCATATATTTAGTAAATGTAATAGCTGTTATGTAGCCATACTTGCTTCTGCTCTTGGAATATGGAATTGCTGCCCAACTGGCTCACGACTGTAAACAAGAGATGTATGCTGCCACAGCCTTCGTTTTTCTTGCTAAATACCAAATAAATGATGGTAATATCATTAATTTGTGCTAACTGGTTGATAATTTGAGAACGTCTTCATTAGTATTACTTCCGTAAGAATGTGTTAAAAAAACAAATGAAAAAACAAATGCTCAAATAAAAAGCTGAGGGAAAAAGTAGATGCATTGCTTAAAATGTATTTACTTTAAGCATCACTAACATCAAGAATGCGGGTACAATTTAAGCTGGATGCAGCTCCCTTGCATCACGAGTGGCGACTGTAATAGCTTGGTTCTTCTATATCTAAAGATGCCTTCGTGATTTACTGCAGAAAATGGAACCTGTGGTGCTCATTGTAGATTGAAGATCACAATGCATTAGCTATGATATGTCGGTGCCGGCGGATGATGATAAATGCGAGGATGCTGTGAAATTCGGATGTGAATGAGAACGGAGCCGATTGACTGTGGACTGCGCAGTAGCGCACTTCATGTCACGACGACTGCACGTGATTTATATCCAATTATTTTGGTGATGATTTTCACGCAGAGCTCCTTTGTGTTCGTCTTAAATAATATTTACAATTAAAATGGACTCAATAGTAACTATTACAATCTTGCGAAATGCGAATTGTTAACATTTAGTCTTTGTTCGGTAGGAAAACAGTTTGAATGTCAATAGAAAAAATGGTACGTTGGATACGATATAAAACATACTTGTTTCAATTGATTTATATTTTTTCGAAGAGCTGTTGGCTATAAGTGGCTGAGGGCGAGTGGAGACCACAGTTGTAAGATAAACTATACCGCGTGGTTATTCCCTGGGCATGCCACAATCTGCCTTCTCTTTGCTTCTGCTGTGTGGGTGGAAAGTCAGTCGCCTGCACATGTCAAAACTTCGCAACAATGCATTTGCACTGTAATGTGTGTAATTACCAGAAAATAAGCAACACTTTTTTTTATAATCATGCTTATTTAAACTAACTGATGCACTGGAAATTTCTTCCAAGTAAATTTGATTCTCTATTACAAACCCTTTCATATATGCAGTACTGTATATTACTTCGTACATTCATGCCCTCTAGACTTTACTTCTCATTGTAGCTGTTTGAATTTTATCACTCTCCAACTGATATTGAAAACGTAAATGCATTACCTCTGTCCATCTGTCTGTCTGCCTGAAACTCGAGTGCACGATAACTCTCATAAACATAATCCAATATATAAAAAAACAAGAATAAAGTTCGCATCACTTTTTACCCTTCGCTCTCTTTTCGGAACAGTAAATGGAGATCAAGTGAGTGGTTGACATCAGGCGAGATTAAGCTCCATGTAGTTGTTGGGCTTCCAAATGGAAAGTGCCTCAGCTAGTCCCAAGTATATGGTGCTTTTTTGTTCTCTAAAACGTTTTGTAGGCTTTCATTCTGTGTTTCTGTGAAACGAATTTAATATCGCAATTATGTCCATACTCAGAATAGTACATATTTCAGTCATGAGGAAAGGGCTAAGTCAAATTTTTTTTAAACGTTCGTAGATGAAAATAAAACGGTTTGAGAAGTATAACCTTGCTGAGATCTTTACTTTCCTATGATTTATTGGATTTTAAGAACTTGTGCAGTGCATTATTTTGCCCATTTTTATTTTAAACCCTATTTTGCAGCTTCATTAAATTGTCCTCT